GTGCCGCCTGGCCGCCGGGGCACCTCTCTTCTCCTCATGGCCTCTTTCTCCAGCAGAATAGCCTGGACTTCCTTTCCTGGTGGCTGGATGCCCCTCCCGTGTGAGCAGAAGCTTCCAGTCTTCTCAGGCATCAGGAGTCGCCATTTGTGCCTCACGGCGTTGGTCAAAGCGCCTCACACAGCCAGCCCAGACTCGGGCTTGGGGACTAGATGTCCCATCTTCGCGAGAAGAGTAGCGGGCACCTCGCATGCAGCCCAGGGGGAAGTGTTTGGTGGCCATCTGTACAATCGACTGTGAGCAGGCCGTGTCCTAGGGTGACCGTAGATTTTACGTCAAGAAGGGTTACTTTCTGTACAGTTCTCGTCCACTGTGGGCTTTCTCTACGGACGGTTCTCATCCCCGGTGGTTTTTCTCTTTCTTCCGCAGATGCCCGTCTATTATTACCCATCCGGTCAGTACCCTACCTCAGCCACACAGCAGTACCGGCCCCTGGCCTCCGTTCAGTACGGTGCTCAGAGGGGTCAGCAGATACCGCAGGCCGCGCAGCAAGCAGGTACGTGGCCTTTCGTTTCCCGCCTCCTCCCCTAACCTAGCGATGCCTGCCCGCAAATCTCTCGCCGTCCTCTTCGGACGAGTGTCCACGCTTGGCAGTTTCAATCCCCTCGTTTCCCTCACCCAGAGAAGATAACGGGGCATCGGAGGAACTCTGGGAAAGTCACGGGCACGAGAAGGTGAAGCCCACGTCACGCCGTTGCCCCAGACGTGCATGCTGAGTGCCGTCTCCACAAGTTCTTTGTGGACCTTCTTGGTTTCTTTCAAAGCAAGAGTGCCAACCACGTCCTTAGCTTCCTAGTTCGTGCCTTTCCTTGCTTTCTTTCTTTTTTTTTTTTTTTGGTCCTTTTCGACTCGAAGACAATCCTTCCGCTGTTCCTAGGGCCAGGGGGACGACATTAGCTTGTTTCTCTACCTTCCTCCAAAGTACCGTCTGTAGAAGGTGGCCCCGGACGTCGCAGCCCGTGTCACCCGATGGAGGTGACTCCGTGCGTGGCTCGCTTTCTCGAGGGCCACCTGCCTCCCGCCCAGAGCTCGGCAGCCGCTGTGCAGTGGGAAGGGGGGCCGATACACTGTACGAGAGTGAGTAGCAGGTCTCACAGTGAACCGGTCTCTTTCCCTACTGTGTCACACTCCTGATGGCGTGCCGGTGCCCAGACAGCAGCAGGAACCCAGCAGGGCTGAGTGGCTCCTACTGGGGACGGGCTGGGGTCCTTCCTGCTGGCCGCTCTGCAGGGGACACCGCTCATTGCCAGGCCGAAGACCACCTGCACGGGGGACTCCGCCTGCCGTAAGTAGGTCGTGCCAGGGCGCGGGCTCCCGCTGCCGCTCCTGATTGGCTGTCCCGCCATGCGACGTCTGTGCTCGGTAGAAGGCTGTGCACATGTGATATGTACATATACGTGCGTGTGTTATGTGCGGGACGTGGACGGTTTTTATAAGCTGGTGGAAAGCAACGCCCTTGCCAAGGATTAACGCCAAGAACGGGCACGCTGAGACTATGAACGCAGACATGACGAGCGTCTTGTCAGATTGGAGAAGAATTCAGTCCCTCTGTATTGGAGCGAGCGATACGTTCGCTGATTTGTCTCGTGGCCTATTTTAACGTCCGTGGGAGAAGACTTAGGGAGATGTATGGCAGCCGGCCAGACTTCTTCTCATTTCAACACTGTATTCGTCTAGGGGAAAAAATCTACATTGACCTCTGAACTGGCTTTACGTTTTTCCTTTTTTTTTTTTAATGTTTATTTATTTTTGAAAGAGAGGGGAGGATAGAGAGAGAAAGAGAGAGCACGAGCAGGGGAGGGGCAGGGAGTGAGGGGAACAGAGGATCCGAAGCAGGTTCTGTGCCGACAGCAGAGAGCCTGATGTGGGGCTCGAGCTCATGAACCGTGAGATCATGACCCGAGCCCAAGTCGGACGCTTAACCAAATGAGCCACCCAGGCGCCCCTACGTTTTTCTAATAATAACACAAAAACGTTTACAATGATTAGTTTTTTTGTTTTTTGCTGTTTTCAAGCGTTTGGTAATGTTTCCTCTGAAGTGGGAAAATGTTCTAGCTGTATCACTTGGTGGTAACTATGCCATCAATTTAGATATATACTATAGTAACGTGTTGCTTGCCTTCCTTCTGCTAATGTTTGTCAGAAAGTTAAGCTGTGATCTCCTAGCTGCTGGTCCATGGGTCCCAGTGAAGTTTTCCTTTTGGCTGCCAATCCCTGTAGGAGAGACATCGACGTCCATTGATAATGATTGGCTAAATTTTAGTTTACTGCTATCGTTTGACTGTTTTCTGAGAAGGTGTGTGAGTCTTGCATTAGAGTATGTAGCTCCTACACAGGAATGCGGTTACAGACATGCTAGAACCTACCAAGCCGGAAAACCCCAGGTTTGGGTGAGGGGCTGAGAGAGTTGGATGAATGAATGTGTTCATCCGAAAGCAGATTGAATCAACCCAAGTAGATTTAAGACAAGCCTTGGGCTTCCCCTGACTCTCCCCCACGAACTTTATTGGTGAGCGTCAACACCAACGAGAACGCTGTGACATTTTTTGTCTTTTTAAAAACACTGCGGGAGGATTTAGGGGTGCGAAACCTCCCCCCTCCCCCGCCCACCATCTCAGAGAGACCTGACTGGCCCCAACTACATCCCGTGGCAGCCTGGTGACATTGACTTGTCCCGTGCCCCCACATTACCGTGGGGATGCCACCCCCCCCCAAGGTGAGGTCATGACACCGTAATTAGAGGGGTGCGTTTCAAAGGGGTATCCTGCTCCCAATAGAAGTGAGTGCTTTGGGCGACAAAGAAGTGAGTGGAGCTAAGGTGGCCTGTGGGAACTGGGGAGATGAGAAAAGGGAGGTGATGCTGCGGGAACAAAATCCTCCCCGAAGCGACACCATCGACATACACACGTGGACTGAGACGTTTACGCTCCTAGCTTTTGAGACCACCACACCCGATATCAGCCTAAAATCTCAATGCAGTTTCCACCGCGGTGTTGAATTTACTGAGGGTCTGGGAGGACGGACGGTGTCCCCTGATCTCACTGAGATTTGCCTCTTCTAACAAAATTCCAGCTCATGCAATGGCCTAAGCCATTAGGCCAATCATGTGACAGCACGTGATTACAGCTACGTGGCCTTTTGCTGAGCTGAGTGACACCAACAGAGACTTCCCAAAGGGCCCTGGAGGTTACTTGGGGGAAGCAACTCCGTGTGGATGGAATATCTCATGGAGGAAAGAGCCTCTCTGGATAACTGCCAAAGCTGTATTTCCTGGAGGAGCTTGGAGAGAGGGCCCCTCTCTCTGTAAATCGACCTTGGGACCAGGTTTGGGCTGGCACCATCCCGCAGGGATGCCCTGACTAGCTCTCCCTCCTGCCTCCTGCAGTCTTGCCTCCTGGATCTGACCCTCTCCCACCTTCTTAGGGTACTGACTGGATTACGTCCCAGTAAAGGCAGCATCCCATGGTGGGGCATTAGCGTAGAGCCAATTTATGTCAGTTATAACCAAATGAGATTTAAAAAAATTTTTTTAATGTTTTTATTTATTTTTGAGACGGAGAGAGAGACAGAGCATGAGCAGGGGAGGGGCAGAGAGAGGGGGAGACACAGAATCCGAAGCGGGCTCCCAGGCTCTGAGCTGTCAGCTCAGACCCCGATGCGGGGCTCGAACTCATGGAGTGTGAGATCATGACCTGAGCTGAAGTCCCATGCTTAACCGACTGAGCCACTCAGGTGCCCCTAACCAAATGAGATTTTAATCCCGATTTGCTTCGGGGCAGTGTTCTTCATCTTTATTTAATCCTAGTGAGAAGTGTCTCTTCCTTGTCCTACATTCTTGGCCAAATTGAAATCTCTGTAAGTCAGTAAAGTCACCACATCTTTCGTAGGCCTTAAAACTACACACAGTGAATTTTTATAAAGTAAATTGGATATTCTGCAATTAAGTAGGACATTTGAGTTACCCTGAGGCCCAATAGGGGGACATAAATTCCTCCTGGTGATTTTGTTCTCTTTTCCCTACCAGTGTCTGATAGAGATGCTAAGCATCTAGAAGAAGGAGCCTACGCTGGTTAAGTGTTATAAACAAAGGGCATCAAAGTCAGAAATTTTGGAGAAATTCCATGGTAGATTGAAACAGTGACATCTGAATTTGGTAGCTACATATACAAGGGAAACCAAAACCTTAATATAGAAGTGTCCCTGGGGTGCCTGGGTGGCTCAGTGGGTTAGGCGTCCTACTGCCTTGTGTAAGTCGTGGTCTCATGGTTTAGAGTTCGGAACCTCAAGATCGGGCTCTGTGCTGACAGCTCAGAGCCTGGAGCCCGCTTCGGATTCTGTGTTCTTCCTAAGTCAGCAGGTGACCTGGCCTCGTATCTCTCAAAAAAAAATAAACGTTAAAAAAATTTTTTTTTTAAAAAGAAGTGTCCCTAGTGGAAAAATAAAAAGTCTACTGTCAACTTAACATTATCAGGTACCCCCAACAGTGAAGGCAGATAATTTTCTTTATGAGGCTCTTGTTGATGACCCGAAGCCATGTAGAAAGGCTGTTATCAGGTTAGAGCTAAAAAGACTGTGGTTTTCAAATCCTTCCGGCTTTGAAAGACTTGAAAGTGAGGGCATCCGTCCTACCTGAGAACAGATCCCCCCCCCCCCCCCCGGGGGGGAATACTGAGATGAAATGCTGAGGCATAAGCCTTACATTTCTTCATGCTTTAGGTTTACGTAGTCGTCAGTTACCATATCGCTTTGAGTTAATCCCTGTGTCGCCATGGTTTTATTCTGATTCAAACACATTTTTAAGGCCACAAAAAACGTTAGTAGTAATCACAGTTACCATCAGTTAGGCCTCTAATAGGCTCGTTGCTGTGCTCAGTTATTTCCAAACATGGCATTCTTTCATACCCACCACAAATTTACGAGGGGAGTGTGAGCTGTTAGAAATACACTGTATAGAAATACACTACTTGGGTCCCAAGGCTGATCAGATCGAGGAGAGCGCCCAGGCTTGGCCGGTTCTAAGGCTGCACATTAACCACTCTCCCAAAAGCACATAAACATAGCTTACTAGTTTTGCCTTTATTTACTGTCATGGATGATGATACAAGAAACAAGCATCCTGGAACTGAACCAGCAGGGCTGTGTTAGAGGCAGACATTTAACTGTCCAAGTGCACGGGCTGGCTGATATCAGCACACATGGGGACCTCTGGATGTTGGCCTCCTGACCCACCATGGGCTTTCCTATTCCTTTGCAGAGCTGGTCACTAACACCAAGTGACAGAGCACGGCTGAGATTTATGTGTGGATCACACATTGGAAAGAGAGAGAGGGGGAAAAAAAAAATTCATCTTGGATCTTGTATCCAACTCCAAATTCTCTTTTCTTTGAGTTTGACTAAGAAGAAATATATTTGATTTCATTCTCTGCTCTCCATAATCTTGAACACGTTCTACAAGCCACAACAATGGGCTTGTAAATTCCTCTGTCCTTTCATAAG